GGCCATCATTTTCTTATACATCTTCTTGAATATGCATATAAATTATACCAAAGATACATTCGGCATAAACATTTTGTAGTTATTGGGATTACCCATCCACCCAGCCATCCATCTACCCATCCACCCATCCAACCATCTATCTACCCACCCAAACACCCATCCAGCCACCCACCCATGCATCCCTCAATCAATCCACCCATCTACCCATCCATCCATCCATCCATCTATTCACCCATCAATCCATCCATCTATCCACCCATCCATCCATCCATCTATCTATCCACCCATCCATCTATCCACCCATCCATCCATCTATCCACCCATCAATCCATCCATCCACCCATCCATCCATCCATCGATCCACCCACCCATCCATCCATCCACCCATCCATCCATCTATCCACCCATCCATCCATCCATCCATCTATCCACCCATCCATCAATCTATCCACCCATCAATCCATCCATCCATCCATCCATCTATCCACCCATCCATCCATCTATCTACCCATCAATCCATCCATCCATCCATCCATCCATCCATGCACCCATCCATTAATCTATCCACCCATCAATTCATCCATCCATCTATCCACCCATCAATCCATCCATCCATCTATCCACCCACCCATCAATCCATCCACCCAACCATCCATCTACCCATCCACCCATCCATCCATGCACCTACCCATCTATCCACCCATCCATCCATCCATCCATCCATCTATCCTTCCATCCATCTATCCATCCATCCATCCACCTATCCATCCACCCATCCATCTATTAATCCAATATTTGCACTAAATCGTTGCAGTAAAAGATAAATAAATGTCTAAGACCAATAAATGTCTAAGAAGAAATGTAGCACAACCCCCCCCCCACAATAAAACAAAAAAAATGAAATATTACACAGATATATTTAGTCTATAACTCAGATTTATATGGAAACATTTATTGAAAGAAAGCCCTGGATTTAATGTAAGTATAGAAAGGAATTTATGTCCGTTGGGAGTAGAACTTTAAATGTGTAATTCATCAGCTATACCGGTACATGCATTTATACTTTTCTTACATAGGGGGGTTAGCCTTGGTCATGCCCAACTAATTGAAGCAAATTACTCAGAAAACGGTTTCTTTGAAACTTAGCGGTCTGTAAGTCATTTGAATCCTTTCAGAGAAATATTTGAAAGATAGTGAAGAACATTTAAATTAGTTTGTAAATTGAGATGGGGCAGAGAGTAACTAGGGAACAAATGAAAACAAGTTAGGTGCGTGAGAGGGATAGGAATTTCTACGACCCAAACACACTGCTGGTCCCATGATAACAATGGGAGGACTAGGATTGGTTGAGAAATATCAGGATTTTACCATTCTTTAGAGAGGCTGTAGATTTTCAGGAAACTTTGCAATTTCACCCAAAAAAAGCTAATTATTTTAATTTATTTTATTTTAAATTTACTTAGATAACTGAGAGAGACAAATTATTTAACAGGCATATCTGTGTACAATATTAAAAAAACCTATTGGGTGTTTTGTATAGTGCTTATTTATCTTATGCATTAACCCACCTTTGACCCCAGCAGCCTCTAAACTACTTTCAATCACTTCCTCCCTTGGACTTTTGCAGTGGGCTAATTCTCCCACTCATGTAGCTGGCAATACCCTTGACCTTATTTTCTCTTATTCATGTACAATATCTAATATCTGCAACACCCCATTTCCTCTCTCTGATCACCACCTCTTATCGTTTGCTCTCAATTACCCCCTCACCCAACAATCTCAGCCTAACCCCCCTCAGCTCAGGAGGAACCTTAACTCTATTGACCTCCAGCAGCTGTCAGCTGACATTGATTCACAACTGCTATCCATCCCTTCCCTCTCCTGTCCCTCACTGGCCATCTCCACATATAACACTACCCTCACATCTGCCTTGAACGCTGCAGCCCCACTCAAAACATGCACCTCGAGGAGAACACGACCCCAACCTTGGCATAATAAATCAACACGCCATCTGCAGAGTTGCTCCCGTTGTGCTGAACGCTCCTGGAGGAAGTCCCGCACCCAGGCAGACTTTCTCCATTATAGATTCATGTTGCTTTCATACAGCGCAGCCCTCGCCCTCGCCAAACAGTCATACTTTTCCTCTCTCATTAATTCATGCTACTGCAATCCCAGACGTCTCTTTGACACCTTTAATTCCCTTCTCTGCCCTGCTGTGGCCACCCCCCAAACTAACCTTACAGCTGATAGTTTTGCATGCTACTTTACCGACAAGATTGAACAGCTAAGGAAACAATTCTCCCCTCCTTGCCATTCTCTTTATCAACCACATGTAAATCTTGCTTTCCCTACCCTCCAGACTTTCTACCCGGCTACTGAACAAGAGGTGGCTGCGCTTCTCCATTCCTCTCGCCCCACCACTTGCCCGCTCGATCCTGTCCCATCTCACCTCATCAGATCTCTCTCCCCTTGTCTTGTGCCTACTCTAACACACATCTTTAACTGCTCTCTCTCTTCTGGCACTGTTCCTGCTGACCTTAAACATGCCACTGTAATACCTATCCTGAAAAAAACATCTCTTGACCCATCCTCCCCTTCTAACTATCGTCCCATATCCCTGCTCCTTTTCTCATCAAAGCTTTTGGAAAGACTTGTCTTTACCCGTGTGTCCTGCTTCCTTAATTCCAACTCTCTCCTTGACCCTCTTCAGTCTGGCTTCCGCCCTCTCCACTCTACTGAGACTGCTCTTATCAAAGTGACTAATGACCTAATCTCCGCTAAATCCAAAGGTCATTACTCCATATTAATTCTCCTTGACCTTTCTGATGCCTTTGACACCGTTGATTATGCTCTCCTCCTTCAAACTCTTCAATCGCTCGGTCTCTGTGACTCTGTCCTCTCTTGGTTTTCCTCCTATCTCTCCCAACGCTCATTCAGTGTCTCCTTTTCCAAGGATACCTCCTCCCCTCATCCTGTCTCGGTTGGAGTTCCCCAAGGGTCTGTCCTTGGTCCCCTTCTATTTACTCTTTATACTGCCTCTCTTTGTAAACGTATTGCCTCTTTTGGATTCCACTACCATCTGTACGCTGATGACACTCAGATATACCTCTCCTCCCCGGACCTCTCCCCTGCCATCCTGCAACGTGTCACTGCTTGCCTCTCTTCACTCTCTGACTGGATGTCCTCACGCTTTCTGAAACTTAACCTCTCTAAAACTGAACTCCTTGTCTTTCCTCCTCCTAATACTGATCCTCCTCTCTCGCTCTCCCTTCAAGTCAGTGATATCCACATAAGTCCATCCCTGCAAGCGCGCTGTCTTGGCATCATACTTGACTCTGGTCTCACCTTTGAGTCTCACATCCAGTTTGTTGCCAAGTCCTGTAGGTTCCAACTCAAAAACATAGCCCGCATTCGCCCCTTTCTTACGCAAGATGCTACCAAGGAGCTTGTCCATGCTCTAGTAATTTCCCGCATGGATTACTGTAACCCTCTCCTGATTGGTCTTCCCAAAAGCCGTATTGCCCCGCTACAGTCTGTAATGAATGCTGCAGCTAGACTGATTTTCCTCTCTAGTCGGTCCTCTCACACCTCACCCCTCTGCCGGTCCTTACATTGGCTCCCTGTATTATATTGGAGTCAATTCAAAGTGCTAACCCATACATTTAAAGCACTGAACAGTTCTAGCCCCGCTTATATCTCTTCACTGATCCATAAATATGCCCCTCCACGTACCCTCCGCTCTGCCTGTGACCACCTCCTGACCGCTGCTCGCACCCGTACGGCCAACTCGCGCTTGCAGGACCTCTCGCGGGCGGCTCCTCTCCTATGGAATAGCTTGCCTACTGCCATCAGACTCTCCCCTAGTCTTCAATCATTTAGGAAGGGCCTTAAAACCCATCTCTTCAGGAAAGCTTATGGCCCCCCAGAGTAATCTCTACCTTACATACCTATCTCCTGCTCTCTCCTATGGGACAGTGCTTTGCTCTCTCCTCCAGCTCTGCTTCACTTCTACTTGATATTTATTGTCCTAATGTTTCAAATACCCCACCTCCAATAGTCTGTAAGCTCGTTTGAGCAGGGTCCTCTTCAACCTATTGTTCCTGTAAGTTTTCTTGTAGTTGTCCTATTTATTGTTACACCCCCCCTCTCAAAATATTGTAAAGCGCTACGGAATCCGTTGGCGCTATATAAATGGCAATAATAATAATAATAATAATAATATACATCTTACGGATAAAGACTGGACATGTATTTTTAAAAGGGTGATGACAGTCTTGGTGAGTTCGATGAAAAGGGAATCTTTTTATAAATGCATTACTAGGTGGTATACAATCCCGGTCCAATTACACTATATATACCCTGAAATCAGTGATAGGTGTTGGAGATGTGGAGAGGGTGTGAGAGACTTGGAGCACGTCTGGTGGTTCTGCCAGAATATCAGAGTTCTGGAAAGGAGTCATTTCCACTACTAATGAGATTATTCCACTGCCCTTAACACTTACCCTTCCTCAGATTTTGTTGGGGTGGCCCAATACATAGCAGCACAAAGATAAATACTATTGGGGCTACTCCTTGGCGAAGCCAACGCACTTATTTCTGCCTATTGGCAACAGAATCAGTCAAACAATGGGTGGAAAGAGTCAAGGTTATGAGGGAAATGGAGGACTTCATTGGTCGACCCAGGGTAAGAAAAAACAATATTTGAAGATATGGGACCCCTGGATACAATATTGATTAAAGGGATAAAAGGCAGATGGGATTTCCCTTCACTTATTTTTTGCCGATATACATAGGCCATGGGATGAATCAGAGTGATATATTTCGGTCAAGCACAGAAGTAAATATTATTCTTCATATTAATAATCATTGATATATTAATAATTTCTTTATATATGAATAACCCCTACAAGGTAAGAGGATACATTTTTAAGAGTTTTTATTGAACAGTTCTCAAAAAAAATTCAAAACAATGTTCAATTAAAAAATGAAGGATTTTTGTTCTAGTATTTCACAGTAACAATATTCCATACGTCTATCAGGTCTAGATGAACAGATTTCACATTATAATGTATTCATATATAAATACATGTATTTTATGTTTGTACATGCCCCTCTTTCTTTTTTTCTGTACCCTTTATAACAAAAAAGAATCTTTAAAAAAGAAAAAAAAAAAAGAGAGAGAGAGAATCACTATAGCTTACATGACTGAACTACGGTTATTCATTGCATCCATATTTTGGATAAAGGGGTGAGTGCAAATCAGGGAGAACCTTGCACATGCGGTACATTGTTAAGTACCTAACCTGATTACCTACAATAGTCTGACCCAAAGAGGTATGAAATTGGTAAGCAGGAGAGAGGGCAAAATGTTTTTCTTGTGACTTCTATTACTTCAGGGAGATCATGCCAAACTAATCATATTGCTTTTTTTGATTGGTTAACTAAAATAATAGATCAGGGTGGTGCAGTAGACATTGCTTACATAGATTTCAGTGAGGATTTTGACAATGGTGCATATAGAAGGCTGATCAATAAATTGCAATCTTTAGGTTTGGATTCCAATATTGTTGAATAATCGAAGCATGGGCTTGTCACCAGTGGGGTACCTCAGGGATCTGTACTTGGACCCATTCTCTTTAATATTTTTTTTAGTGATATTGCAGAAAGTCTTGATGGTAAGGTATGTCTTTTTGCTGATGATACTAAGATATGTAACAGGGTTGATGTTCCAGGAGGGATACACCAAATGGCAAATGATTTAAACTATAAAAATGGTCAGAGCTGTGGCAACTGACATTTAATGTGGATAAGTGCAAGAGTACAGAATATTTGATAGAGTCCTAACCTCAGCATCTGAGGGAAAGGATTTAGGGGTTATTATTTCTGGTGGCTTAAAGGTAGGCAGCAGGAAATGCTAGCAGAATGCTTGGTTGTATAGGGAGAGGTATTCGCAGTAGAAAGAGGGAAGTGCTCATGCCATTGTACAGAACACTGGTGAGAACTCACTTGGTAGTATTGTACGCAGTACTGGAGACCGTATCTCCAGAAGGATATTGATACTTTAGAGAGAATTCAGAGAAGGGCTACTAAACTGGCTCATGGATTGCATCAGGAGGAAAGACGAGACAGGGGTGATATGATAGAAACATTTAAATACATAAAGGGAATCAAGACAGTAAAGGAGGAGACTATATTTAAAAGAAGAAAAGTTACCACAACAAGAGGACATGCTCTTAAATTAGAGGGGCAAACTAAAAATAATATCAGGAAGTATTACTTTATTGAGAGGATAGTAGATGCATGGGATAGCCTTCCAGCTGAAGTGGTAGAGATTAACACAGTAAAGGAGTTTGAGCATGCGTGGTATAGGCATAAGGCTATCCTAACTATAAGATGAGGCTAGGGACTAATTGTAATGGTATTTATTAATTAATGACTTTACATCATAAAGAAAGCATATTTAGTGTAATGCTTTGGGGGCACCACTAGGGGGAGTGTGTAGGAAGACATATGCTTCTGGCAGTGACATCACAGGCCAGCCTACTTACACTGAATAAAAACCAGATGGAGGAGAAAACTCTCTTTTTGCCTGTACCTGACTGAACCTAAGATGTAGTACCAGCTCTGACTTAACCCCAGCCAAAGGGCTGGGGCCTTGTAAGTAAAATGTTGTGTAACATGTAGCAACCTTTTGTAAGTAATATGTTGTAGTTTCGTATTATCATTATTGTAGTAAATTGACATTCTGCTAACATCTGTTTATTTGTTATAGTTATATTAAATATACATTTAATATTACAACGTTTTGTGTATTTTCTATCCACATATTCGACCATAATACCATGAATTATAAAAATATTAATGTTGTTCCTTATTGCTTAATTATTATGTATTAAGAGATTAATATTCATATTTAGGTCACGACCACAACATTTGGCGTAGTCGGCAGGATTATGCTTGAATATTGGGGAAAATATAAATGTTATGCATTTTGCTTAAATAATACAGTAAATTGTCTGTCTGTATACAAATGAATAAATGAATGATGATTTGGTTTTAATGGAATGAATGCAGATAGCAGATAGGGATTAGATATTTGTTTTTAAGGTATCTTGTTGTAGAACATAGTGATGAATTATTGTGTTGCTTGTTACCAATCTTTGGTCATTTGTATATAGGAGAAAACTTATATATACTTTACCTTTTGTCTGACCATGTGGATTTTAATCCACCATTGACCACATGATGTGAATGAGTTGAGGCCTAGTTTTATTGTTTGCTACCATTTGCATAGGAAAAGACTTTTCACTAAACTAGTTCACCAGGTTTTATTGCAAAATTTGACCCTGTTTGTGTACTAATTTACATTTGTTTGGCATTCATGGATTTGTCTAGTAAATTAGTAGTTAAGAAAAAGATATGTTTAGTAAAGCAGATTCAGTGAATAATAGATTTATGTGTGCGTATACACAGAATTTTAGTATAAATATATATATGATTTTGACTCATGAAGGAGAGACCACCTTTTTAACAGCTGTGTGACCATGCTTTTCAGCTACAGCTGGGGGAGAATTTGTCCTTGTTGGGGGTGGGTAGTCTTGCCTGTATGAGAAAAAATAAACTGCATTGTTTTGTAAATGTAATTGCCTAAACTAATCAATTTGTGGAGTGTTTTTCAGCTTTATTATCCAGGACTAAGGAATTACTGGACATATGCAGGAACTGGTAACAAATTAACTGAAAAAATGGTAAAATAATTCCTTTGTCCTATTTAGTCTGAATATTTTAACAAGTTAGCATTTTTAACAAAGTAAGTGTAGGGGCTCAGATTAAGATTTATATTATTTTAGAAGCCATCTATAACTGATTTTAATATTTCCATGCTTTGACTTAGGGTGTATCTGCCTAGCGGGTGAACCTCCATAACAAGGGCTGTGATTTTAGTTACAGTAGCGAGTGGGGAACCTGAGCTAGGGGGTATTTAAACATGTCCGGATAAGGGGGAGCATACCCAATAGTTGTTGTGCAGTTCTATCCTGTATTATTATTTGAAACCCTTTATTACTTATAAGTAGCGTTTTGTAACTTATTTGTAATTGTTTATATATATTGCTCTGGGAAAGGGATAGGCAAAATCTCTGAGAGACCAGGAAATATATTTTAAAAAAGGGCGTATTACACTAGTGGTAGGGCGGCCTATCATGACCATAGAGACCCTTGGTGACTAGTTTTTGTTGTATATTGCCCTGGGAAGGGGATACGCTATTTAATAGAAATTCCTGAGAGACCAGGAAATATACAATAAGTGATACGTGAGTGTACTGGTTAAATTGCAGACATATTGTCCCAGAACCTTTAATCGAGCCGGAAAAGAGGCTGCTGTATGTTTGCTCCTCTATAATTTTGCGGGGGCGGTCACCCCCATGCGGAAAGCCACTGCCATCACAGGGTGGTTAGTTGTGCAGGCCCTTAGCCGCGAGGTGCAAGCATGTCCGTGGAAAGGCTAGAAATTAATAGGGAGTCACTCATAGCTGTCAGAAGTGTTGAACTTTGAGACATATTGACCTATATCCTTTCAGAGGCGGAAGAGGTGTTGTGGTTCACTCCTCTATAATTTAACCAAAGGGTGGAGAGTTATTAAACATGTTTAGGTTGGCTAGAAATGTGTTTCCTGAATTGCAGAGAAGATGCAGAAAGCAGCTATTAGCTTATTGTTTTTTAAGAGCCTTGTAAAAAAAAAAAAAAAAAATTAAGAAAGTTATCTTGTTGAAAAAAATTGTTTATAAAATGAAAAGCTGAAGGAATGTGTTTACATGTCTGTGTGTGTGTATGTATGTGTATATATATATATATGTATGTATGTATGTATGTATGTGTGTGTGTGTGTGTGTATATATATATATATATATATATATATACTAAGTAAAATATTTGCAGTATACGCTATAAGTGACTAGGAAAGTAATCCTGATCTGTTTCCTAACCTTTTCAGATGTAGCAGAAACCAGAGGTGGACATTGGAACACAGATAGAATATCAGATGGAGACCAGTGTTTAAATGTTGACCTTTGATGAGCTATTGAATGTTTTATTTTATTGTCTATTTAACATGTCTATGCTATGATTTTGTGCATACTATTCTCTTATTTCTAGTGATTGTATTGCAATTGAAACCCTTATGTATTATTGTTGTATGTATGCTTGCCTGGGAAAGGGGGGAATTGACCAATAGGGACCAGGGGGTATTTTTGTGTAAACCAAACTGGGGTGGGAGGGCTCTAACGAGGGAACCCCATTGTCCAGTAGGTGCTTGATTTGTGTCTGTGTAAAGTGCATGAGTGGTTGCAGTTAAAAAAAAACAAAACAAAAACGGAAGAATGATAAGAGGGATAAGAGAAAGTAGGCATTTTGGGTTATCTATACATGTTTAAATAGAAGGGTGGTAAATAGGAATGTAATTGTTTTGGTTAATGTTTAGATTAAATTGGTAAATGCAACAGTAATAACGAGTGTTTGGGTTAAATTGGTAGATACAGCAGTGATATTGTGTTTATCTGTGAATCAGGAGTGTGCTGGATGTGAAGAGAGGTGTGTAGGTATTTATCCAAACGCCATAGGAAAAAATATGGTTAAGACACCACAATCAAATGGTACTTGTGATGATTGGCACAGTTATTATTTATGTTTGTGTTCGTCATTGCCTGTGTTTTCATTCAAGAACTTTCAAGCAAGGATATTTTAAGCAGAAGAAGAAGAAGCAGCACTGGACACTATGCTCAACTGTTGCTGTAAGGAGAAAAAATATTGCAGCTAAGAGTGGTGAGAGTCGGAACAAAATGCATCAGGAGCAGGAAACTGTTACGTCAAGGTGGTTAATGGAATAAAGAAAGAAAAAAACAAAACAATGTGACCACAAACACACAAAAGTCCTCGATCACACGAACTGTTTCATTCATCCCTGTCTCCATGCGTATGTTCTATGAGACTGTCGAAGAATAGAGTATCCAGTTTCCAGGACTAATGTTTGTGAAAATTCCAGGCACACAGACCAGCCAAAGGCTACAGAAATCGAGTCGGTCTATGCAATGATTCATAGGTGTTATGAGTTTGTGGTGTCTAATACTATATTAAGCTCCAAAACACATCCTCACATGAACACAATATCATTGGTTAATCTAATAAAACATGGTTTGAGTTGTTCATTATTATAAGGGTGGGTATGTGCCTATTTCCCAACTGGTAATGCATGTGCTCAATGGTGAACATTTATATAAGCAATAAAATGTTAATGGGTAATAATTAATGGGTAAATGGGTATCGTTCTTCAAAAGGTGGGTTTTGTTGTAGGGCAGGTAGTGTTAAAATGGGGAAGATTCAAAATGTACTGGTTTTATAAATGCTTGTTTTATGACATAAGTCAAAGGGTGGTTTGTAATGGTATTTATTAATTAATGACTTTTCATCATAAAGAAAGCATATTTAGTGTAATGCTTTGGGGGCACCACTAGGGGGAGTGTGTAGGAAGACATGTGCTTCTGGCAGTGACATCACAGGCCAGCCTACTTACACTGAATAAAACCAGATGGAGGAGAAAACTCTGTCTCTTTGCCTGTACCTGACTGAACCTAAGATGTAGTACCAGCTCTGACTTAACCCCAGCCAAAGGGCTGGGGCCTTGTAAGTAAAATGTTGTGTAACATGTAGCAACCTTTTGTAAGTAATATGTTGTAGTTTTGTATTATCATTATTGTAGTAAATTGACATTCTGCTAGCATCTGTTTATTTATTATAGTTATATAATCATTATTGTAGTAAATTGACATTCTGCTAGCATATGTTTATTTGTTATAGTTATATTAAATATACATTTAATATTACAACGTTTTGTGTATTTTCTATCCACATATTCGACCATAATACCATGAATTATAAAAATATTAATGTTGTTCCGTATTGCTTAATTATTATGTATTAAGAGATTAATATTCATATTTAGGTCACGACCACAACACTAATGAAAGTATTTAGAAAATTGGGCAGACTAGATGGGCCGAATAGTTCTTATCTGCCGTCACATTCTATGCTTCTATGTTTACTCTACACAGTATTCCAGTTATAGAGTTATGATATGAAGCAAGATACTGAACTGATGGTTACGTTATCCAGCATGCAACATACACTATATGGACAAACTTATTGAGATACACCTCTTAATTATTGAATACAGGTGTTTTAATCAGACCCTTTGCCACAGGTGTATAAAATTAGGTGCGTAGCCATGCAGTCTGCATTCAGAAACATTTGTGAAAAATGGAGAGCTCTGTGACTTTAAGCGTGATACTGTGATAGGATGCCACCTTTTGCAATGAGTCAGTTTGCGAAATTTCATCCCTGCATCCCTAATATTCCACAGTCAACTGTAAGTGTTATCATTGAAAACTGGAAGAGTTTGGGTTTCCATGGCCAAGTAGCTGCATGCAAGCCTCACATCACCAAGTACAATGCCAAGCATCGATTGAGTGGTGTAAAGCATGTCACCACTGAACTCTGGAGCAACTAATCACACTTCTCTGTATGCAGTGGTGTATGCCCTAGGCATGACAAAACGCATGCACTCCTCCCCCTCCCGCTCTTCTAAATACACATACACACTTACTGACAGACACATATACACTCAGTGTCAGACACACACTTTCACAGACAGACACACATACACTAGCTAACAGACATACACACTCACTAACAGACACGCATACACTCTCACTAACAGACACACATACTAACACACTCACTAACAGAGACAGACACGCATACACTCTCACTAACAGACATGCATACAAACACACTAACATACACACTTACTAACAGACACACACATAGTAACACACTCCCTAACAGATGACAGACACACACACTAACAGACACACACATAGTAACACACTCCCTAACAGACGACAGACACACACACTAACAGACACACACATAGTAACACACTCCCTAACAGATGACAAACACACACACTAACAGACAAACACACACACACACTCACTTACAGACCCACACACACACTAACACACTCACATTTTTAAAAAAAAATGCAATCCTCCCAGCCTCCCTACCTTTGGGAATGCTGGGGTGTATTATCACTGTCCCTGAGGTCCAGTGGGGCTGCTGGCCGGCCGGTGACTTCAGGCGGTGAGGGATCAGTGATCCTCCTGTTCAGCTCCCTCGCACGCTGTGTAGTGATGCTGGGGCTGGAATGATGTCATACTCCGGCATCACTGCGGTGGGCGCAAGGGAGCTGAACAGGAGGATTAGTGCTCCCTCGCCACCTGCCCGGAAAGTTCCACCGCTGCCAGCCAGGGGGGCCCTGAGGTGGCCACCCGGCCAGCTCCTGGGCCCCCCAGGATAAGATTCAAAATAAATACAAAGTCCTGCTGTGTAACCCACAAAGTTCAGATGGTAATTTTTAATGATCTATTAAACTGACTTAAACATTAGGAGCATTATTACAGCTTTTCAATATATTAAGCACCTTTTAAATATAGAGTTTGACACCTTATACACTTTCACTACAGCTTTTAAATATATTAAGCACTTTATGCAATATAGAGCATGACACTTTGTGTACCTTTAATATATAATGTAATGATCTATTGGTTTTATGCATTAAAAATATGTACAATTACTGAAACACTTGTATAAGTCTTATGTACTCTTATACTTAACGCTTTCTGCATGTTTTGAGATTTCTATTATAAATAGTAAAAAAAAAAAACAATATAATGATCTCCTTTTTTTCCTTTCTCCGATATTCATATATGAAATATACAATATTGTTAAGAACAATAAAGTTTATTTGGACTGTGAAACGCAAGAATGCGTTCCAAATACGGACTGAATGTACCAACGTCATCAGGAAGAGACGCGAAGATCTGCGTCATCAAAAAGAGACGGAACCGGTCGGCAACATCAGGTGACCACAATGAGCAATCAGTGAGAGGCATACAAAAAAAACCAAACGCTGGAAAAGATCTACAAGCAACTGAAGACGCCTGTGAAGAAAATAGACTGAGTTTCGGCATTTTCTTCTGTGTTCGTGCTTTTCTGCAACATTTCGTTCATTTTGGATTTATTGGTTTGGCAGTTTAAAACTACCGAACACCGACCACCCTCCTGGCTCATTAACTTCAAAAAGAACCACTCTCTGGGCGGCCGCCATTCGTATAGCCAAATGCCACGTGGAACAGAAAACGGTGGCCTTGGTCGTCGAGTGTCTGGAACTAAAATCGGACACTCGACCTCCCAAACCACCGCTTCCTTTAGTTGCCAAACAGCCAGGAGAGCGCCATTCGGTAGTTTGGTTCATACGAACAAGGGGAGCAATCGCTGCTATGAGCCAGGAGGATCCATTCGGGACTTTATTTGTTTTTATGCCATTTACTGAATTGACCGACCGCACACGCCGAATTCGTAGAACTGTTTTGGGAAGTAGCCTCATGTCTGGTCGGTAACTTATGACTTCCATACTTTTTGAGAACCCCTGAACCGATCTGGGTGAAATTTGAATATGTTGGTCCCCCAGATCAGGGCTATCAGGGGATATGTAATTTGTGGGGATACCTTGTGTGTAAAGGGGTGTTCTAATTTTTGGGGAAATTGTGTGCCCTCTGCCTGGAGATAATTGGGTTATTCCTTAACTTATCTCAATCTCTCCCAGGCAGAGAGAGGGCGGTTGTTACTGTAAATCTGTATGCTGATTGGTTATTGTCTTTGTTTACTGTGGGAGGTCCTCTTGAGGGAGGATTCTCATAAAAGCCAGTGTGGCATCAATAAAAGTTATTCCTGTTACACATTTATGAAGTCTAGGCTCATGCTTGGGAAATATTTTACTTGCTGGGGAGAATCATCTTGGAAGCTGCATTTATCTACTCTATTCCTCTACCTCCTAACTGCAGTTATATTCACTTATGCTCAGCTATTGGGAAAGGAATAGAAGACCGCAGTACCATAACCACTGCAGGTCTCAACAAAGCTTTTTTAACAGACGAAACCAGGGCCGGACTGGGAGAAAAATTCGGCCCGGGCATTTTTTTAACACAGCGGCCCACTAAAAAGGGGGCGGGGCAGAGGAGGTGTGTTTTGTCATCACCAATGACAAACACGCCTCCTCTCAAAGTGAGCATGTTGGTTCAATGCTCTTCCAGGGCAGACCATGCGCAGAGCTCTGCTGAAGAGCTCTAGCATGAGAAAAAAGTCCTGTATTTGTTCTGCACAGTGCAAGCAAATTTAATAACATGCTTGCACTGTGTTTCCTTGCAACTTGTCTCTGGTGTCTCTATAAATGGATACCAGGAGACAAAAGGCCAGGACAGAGTATTGTGCATGTGTTTGGAGCCTGCTTGTGGTATTGCGGTGTGTGTAGAGTGAGCTGGTCGTGGTGTGGTATTGTGTAATAAGGTCGGTTTTAGTCGTGTTGTGTTTGTGGTGTAATGTGATGCATATGTGGCTCAGGGACCCCCTCCCGCCCGGCTCTGGAAAGGGGTTAAAACTTACCTTTTTCCAGCGCCGGGCGGGGAGCTCTCCTCCGATCCGCCCGTCGGCTGAATGCGCACGCGCGGCAAGAGCTGCGCGCGCATTCAGCCGGTCGCATAGGAAAGCATTTATAATGCTTTCCTATGGACGCTTGCGTGCTCTCACTGTGATTTTCACAGTGAAAAGCACGCAAGCACCTCTAGCGGCTGTCAATGAGACAGCTGCTAGAGGCTTTGGGGGAAGGCTTAACCCATTGATAAACATAGCAGTTTCTCTGAAACTGCTATGTTTATAAAACAATGGGTTAACCCTAGAAGGACCTGGCACCAAGACCACTTCATTAAGCTGAAGTGGTCTGGGTGGCTAGAGTGGTCCTTTAAGAGTGTAGTGTGTGTATGTATATGTATGTATGTATGTGTGTGTGTGTGTGTGTGTGTGTGTGTGTGTGTGTGTATGTATATATATATATATTTATATATTTGGAAGTATTGTGTATGTGTGTGGTGCAGTGTGTTGGGGGGGTTCTGTGTGTGTGTGAGGGTGCGGTGTATGTGTGTGTGTGAGGGTGCGATGTGTGTGAGAGTGCCGTGTGTGTGTGTGATGTGTGTGAGAGTGCCGTGTGTGAGTGATGGGTGTGAGAGTGCTGTGTGAGATGGGTGTGAGAGAGTGCTCTGTGAGAGTGCTGTGTGTGATGGGTGTGAGAGTGCTGTGTGTGTGTGAGTGCTCTGTGAGAGTGCGCTGTGTGTGATGGTGTGAGAGTGCTGGGTGTGAGAGTGCTGTGTGTGATGGGTAAGAGAGTGCTGGGTGTGAGTGCTGTGTGTGATAGTGCTGTGTGTGATAGTGCTGTGTGTGATAGTGCTGTGTGTGATAGTGCTGTGTGTGATGGGTGTGAGAGTGCTGTGTGAGAGAGTGCTGTGTGTGATGGGTGTGAGAGTGCTGTGTGAGAGAGTGCTGTGTGTAATGTGTGTGAGAGTGCTGTGTGTGATGGGTGAGAGTGCTGTGTGTGATGGGTGAGAGTGCTGTGTGTGAGAGTGCTGTGTGTAATGTGTGTGAGAGTGCTGTGTGTGATGGGTGAGAGTGCTGTGGGAGAGAGTGCTGTGTGTGATGGGTGTGAGAGTGCTGTATAAATGTTATTGTGTGTGTGTGTGTAGGGGGGGGTAAATAAAAAAATAAAAAAAACAGGCATTATTCCCCCTCCCCCCCCTTCTTACCTTTAGCCTGGAAGGGAGGGGGGGGACCGGCACGCTGGGACTGGGAGGGGGGGTCCGGCACGCGGTGTTCCCTGGTGGTCCTCGTGGGTGAGTGAACTCTAGCCTGTGAGGCTAGAGTTCACTCTCGCGAGATCCGGTTGTTGCCATGGCAACGCGCCGGATCTCGCGAGAGGAACCCGGCGGAGCTGCAAGTTAGTGCTCCGCCGGGTCCTCTCTCCAGCCTGGCTGGCTGGCTGGCTCCCTCCCTCCCTCCCTCCCCGCCGGCGGCCGCATGTGGGCCGGTCAGGGAGATCCTTGATCTCCCCACCGGCCCGTCGTGACAAACAGCGGGGCCGGCGCTAGGAGAGTGCCGGCCCTGCATAGACCGGCAGGGGAGATCCTGGGACCTCCCCTGCCGGCCTCGGCCCATGGCCACCGCGGCCCACCGGGCATTTGCCCGGTGTGCCCGATGGCCAGTCCGGGCCTGGACGAAACGCGTCTAGCAAGTTTTTATATACTATTTGGACTTTATTCATTGTACCCATTTCTACTATTTTTATCTTACTTTATTATTTATTTCTTTTCATTTTTTGTTTTATACTTTTTTTTTGCTTCATGCCAATAACGAATTTCCTGATATTGGAGCCTATATTCAGTGAAGTTATTGGGCGAACAAGAAGACTCCTAAAGCATCAAAAAGGAATGGGGTCCCTTCCAACATCCCTATCTGCACTTGTTGTGAGCCTCTCATATTGGCTCCATCTTTGTGAGTACTACATCACTAGAATCATATATTTGTCTATGTATTAGACCATACTGTATTGCACTAGGCTTCGGCCATGTTTATTTGTTTCCTACAGTGACAAAATACTTGAAAAACCAGCCACACCTAACCACCTAACTTCTTTTTGTATGTATACCGCCAGGATAAGAGGCTGGCAAGGCATTTGCCAGGGTGATTGGGGGTGTGGCTTTTTTGCCCCCCCCCCCAAAAAAAGTGCAGCCCAAGGCAAATGCCTTGTTTTCCTCTGAGTAAATACACCCCTGTCTGTATGGCAGTCTGATGGGTGAGTCTGGGTTTGGTGCATGCCAGGAGAATGTTAACTGCCTGACTGCATTGTGCCAACTGTAAAATTTGGTAGGGGAAGGATAATGGTATATGGCTGTTTGTCAGGGGTTAGTCTAGGACCATTACTTCCAATGAATGGATATCTTAATATCTGTTTCTGCTTCAGCATACCAAGACATTTTGGACAATGTTATGCTTCCAACTTTGTGAGAATAGATTGGGGAAGTGCACAAAGCCCAAGTGCACAAAGCCATAAAGACATGGTTTGAGGAGTTTGATGTGGAAGAACTTGACTTGCCCTTACAAAGCCCTAACTTGAATCCCATCGAGCAACTGTGGTATGAACTTGAATAGAAATTGCAAGCCAGGTCTTTTCATCCAACATCAGTGCCTGACCTTATACATGCTTTACTGTATGAATTGGCAAAGATTCCCAAAGAAAAATCTCGAGTGGAAGCTGTTAGCTGCAAAGATGAGACCAACTACATACTAATGCAATGAATGCAAGAATGTAATGATAAAAAGTCCCTGTTGGTATAATAATCAGGTATCCCAATACTTTTAACCATATAGTGTTTACTCAGCTGCCAAACTGCTGAGCAGTTTCAAGGAAATAATACTCACAGTGTATACCAGAATTACAAAATTGTGTGTCTTGCTTTGCTTTAACCCATTTTACAAAAGCTCCAAAATTGCAATGCTTACCTTTCCGCCTAACCAGCAGTGCAAGTTCCCGTGTATGAGATTCTCGACTGGCTTTTATGAACATTACAACTTGGTCATGCGTGTGCTCTGATATATCACGACCATTGATCAGCACAATCTGATCGCCTTCAATAAGTTTAGGGTTGCATTTGTCCGCCTATTTAAACACAAAAAAATAATCATGTTATTATGTTATGATATTTTTATCTTCATTCTCTCGTCTATTCTCCCATGCCTGTACAACATTTAGAAGAACTCTCCACCCTTTTGCCCATATTTTTCTAAAAAACTTTGTTTAGTATAATGTATCTACAGAACACGAATATTCACTAAAGTGAGAATTCTAAATGAATTTCAAATTTAAGGTCAACTGGAAAAATATTCTAAGTCAGCTATGTTGTCAGTTTGGTTAACTTAGCCTTAAATGTGAAATTTGCTTTAAATTCTCACTTTAATAAATAACCCTGTAAGTCACCATTTTTAAAAGATTGGCTCACTAAAATTGCTCATAGTATTCGAACATCCTTCCTTCTAAGCACAAGTCCTCTTTCTGAACACATTTCTACTCCCACAGATACTGTGAGTTTTCATGATCAACAAACAGGCTCCAGAATGTTTATTCACCAATAATACCATTAATATTACATATATTTATTTCTAGAATAATGTGATCATGCAAATAGACACACGACAGTAAGAGAAGATGAGAGTATATGCTTATATCCTCATACAGTTATAAATATATATTATAGATCATAATGTAGATTTGTTATCTAGAAAAAATGAAAAATGTATACACATCTCTGAATTGAAAGACAACTAGTACACCCACATTGAGGAATGTTTCAACTATAATAAGGAGATACATTTAATGGAGGCATTTGTATACACTAGATCAGTATAAGCAATGCACCGAGTTGGCTTAGGAGGTTTCTTTCTATTTCCTTGAAAAAAAATGATCTCTTTCTTTTTAAATTTTTATTATAATATATGTTGGTGGTAAAGTTGGCAGAAGCGGTTTGTGTTGTTGTGAGGGGTTTATGGGATGGCTACTATTAATTTAAAAAAAAAAATCTCTGCCTCATTTTTTTGCCTTTTTATTTTCTTATCTTTGATAAATATTTACAATTTAAAAGTGTATTTTAAAAACAGTTTATTTTCTTTATTTTTTATTTATATGGATTTCTAATGGATTATCCACATTCGACAGAACAAAGCTATTTCCTAGAAGAGAGAGAGAGATAGAGAGAGAGAGAGAGTGTGTGTGTGTGTGTTTGTGTGGTGAGTGGTGTGTGGCGTGTGTGTGTATTTTAAATTTAGCTTTTATTAGTCTGTCTTTGAAAATTAATTTAAACAACTAAATAAATTATGAAATTCGGCACTTCGATAGCAATAGAAATATTAGTATTAGGCTTTACCCAGTTCCAGACTAGTGTGAAACTAATAGTCTCCCATTAGAAGTGTGTCAGAAGTATAGAATGAAACAACGTTAAGATAAAATGACAAGATGCAAGATAAAAACAAAGCAATTATCCAAATCATTTTGTGCAACAAGTTTACAAGAAAAAGTGTCATTTAAATTGTTGCTGTTTATTAAAAGTCTACTATTATGAGTATTTAAAATATCTCAATTATAGAATTTCAAGGAGACAAACTTTACACCACCGGAAAAATCAGGGAAACAGTGCAACACTTTATAAATGTAATAATAGAGATAAATAGTGGATATTTACTAAAGAGAAAGAGAGACTCAGTCCCCAATTAATTATCAATAAGTAAACATTATCTAACAATGCCCTATCGGGTCTTCGAGGGTCCTATCCACTAAATAAATAGTATCTATCTCATTGCCACTAAATGTCCCTAGTCTGTGCTTAAAGGGTAAACAAACTGGCAAAGTAATATTGTAAAGCTAAAAAAACGTCTTATAAGTGAAGGAAACTAAACGGTACAGCTATTATTGGCATTATAATGCAGGAAGAGAGCACATTTCTCTCTTAAGAGGCCTTCTTATGGCCAAATTTCCTTATTTCTACAATGTATTACAAAAAAGGGAAGAAAGGAAACATATATCGAAGGGGTACTAAGTCGAAGGGGTCAAATACTTATTTCACTCATTGACATGCAAATCAATGAATAACTTTTCTGACATGCATGTGTCTGGATTTTTTGTTTGTTATTCTGTCTCTCACTGTTAAAATACACCTACCATTAAAATTATAGTCCAATCATTTCTTTGTCAGTGGACAAACATTCAAAATCAGCAGGGGATGAAATACTTTTTTCCCCCTCACTGTACAAGATATATTAAATCTAATTTAAGTCCATTGTTTCTGATTCATTCTGATTTTTAAACAGTTATGTACTATTAAGTCTTGGAAATTGTATGTAAATATTTGACTTTCAGGGATTTTTTTGTTAATGGGGGTAGGTCTTTGTATGAACTTATTAAAAAAAGAGGTACCATTGTTAACTTTACTTGTAGATGATTCATTGTTTTTCCAGAGGGGTATTATTGGTACAAACACACACAAAAAATAAATAAATAATAATAATATGCCATGCATTGCAGATATAAAAATGTAAACCCTGTTACTTGTGTGCTAGAATGTTTGAGACAATTTAAACTTGTTTTATTCTAAAATTGTGTATTCTGTCAGCATGGGGCAAAGAGTTTGCAGTGTGGGAGTATCATGTAAGAAACCACAGGAATGTAATGTCCAGTGATCTCTCTTCATTGTAAAGTAAGAAGTTATATGGATACTTATCAAAGGGAATGAGATGGAGTTACACAATTCAATACTGTAGTTAGTAGAAACATAGCAATTCTAACCATAGAAGATGAGTCGAAGATCAGGACCCATCCAGTTATCTGTAAGACAATGTATTCAAGATGACCACTAAGATAACATTCATCAGAAGTACACCCATTGGTCTATTACATAATGGGAATGATGAAATTAATCTAAAATTAATGGTCATACATGATTTTGGGTGGTTTATAGCCTTTGACTCACTCTATACAAGACGTATGTATGCTGTATACTGTAGGTTTATAGAGAACACAAGGGCAAAGTAAGACTTACCGGGGAACCTGGAGTTATCCTGGATACCACTAACTGCATTTTCTGATCAACACCTCCCTGCAAAGTAATTGAAAGCGATAAATATTTTACAGAGTTTGTTTTTTTATTTTACTTTTTACTTTTAGTTTTTACTATTGTATCTATATGTAAACAAAATGTACTTAACTTCCTAAAATTCCCCATGATGTCTGCAGTGTGGAACATTTAATTTGTAATTATTATACAAGTTAAATACCAATAATATACAAATACATTGTGAATACCAACAGAAAACTATCAGGAAATTATTTATGCACAGTTACAACAAAAAGCAACAGTAAATTGCACCTTACCTTCAGGTTGAATCCAAATTTTCCTTCTTCATCTGGTGTAATACGGACCAATAATAAATCTCCATTTGAAAATTCATTCTGTTAAGAAAATCAAATAGTTACAGTATACACCATCAATAAACTTGTTTTTCAGTACATCATTTAACGGAACATCTGACATAAATAGAATAGTATTTTGAGGTCAGGACGTATTTGGAGGAAGCTAGCTAAAAACTACACCGTTTCTTGTTCTATAGTATGGTATGATTATTTTAAGACACCCATCAAACGTCTGACACCACTGCCATTAGACTGCATATGAAGCCACAATTCGGCCATTAGTATTTTCAGCTGGGTCAGTGAAAGTTAGTATCTTGGACAAAGACTGACAAAAGCAAGGATATAATATTTTCTTGCGTTCACATCACTCTTACAAGGCAAGGTTTTGTTACAAATTAACATGCCTGTTTGCATCCCAGATGCAACAGTAAAATGAGATCAACACCAAACACAGTTAATAACTGCCACGATAGGCCAGCCTGGTGGGTTCTCCAGTGACTTATATACCTTGGAAAGGGCGTAAATCACAAGCATTACGCCCAATCTACTATAGACTGCATCTTTTGCTGTATCCCAAGAGTGGGATTTTGGATTTTTACTAAACAGAGTCATGTTGAGTGAAAGGGGAGTTTAAAAAAAAAAAAAACAAGAAAATAAAATAACACACACACAGGCCAAAATTGACAAGTTAGAGCTTTTTACAACTCTGTTATATTGGCCAATACTTTGTAGCTATGTTTTTAAGGCATAACAAATCACTAGTTACTGAAAATGTTCAGCAGGAAAAAAGAAAGGGAAACTGGACCCTTCAATTTTAGAAAGAAAAAAAAAACACAACTTGATATGTGTGAAAATTTGCATTAAAAGGTACATTCTGTAATTCAAATTCACATGAATACATTGCATAACCCATTAACCTTGATAGAAAAGCAGCTAGAGTAATAAGATATTCTCTATAGTGCAAATTTCCCACAGTAACAAGACAAGAATTCACTTTACGACTCTGCATTCTCTCTCCAATTTTACATGCTATTATATTATTTATAATCATTTTGCTACGTTTCTCAATATATTTCAATATACTGTAAAGTGCAAAGATTTAATAAAGATGAATACTAAAACGAAATACTATTAATTACACGTGAGACATTACTAAAACTATATCACATTACTGATCTATATTAAAAGAAAGCTTAAAACATTAAATGTTTTCTGACATTCAGTTCATACTGTAGTCTGAGTTTATTTTCAAACTATGGTTTTTGTATGCTTTAAAACACTTACTTAAACACGGTAAGATCCAAACACTCCTCACTTACTGTCTGGGTTCCGTTTCCACGACCCGGTCGTAGAACAAATTGGTCGGTAAGTGAGGAATTAAGGGATTCCCTCCTCTGCTGCGTTCGTCTATCTTCGGGGGAAATGTCCCTGAACACAGACAAACACAACAGAGAAGGGAATCCGTCTAATCTATGTTTGGGGAAATTTCCCCGAACATAGATTAAGGGATTCCCCGCTTTAGTGCACATGTCTGTGTTCAGGGACATTTCCCCGAACATAGACGAACGCACAAGAGCTGGGAATCCCTTAACTCCTCACTTACTGAAATTTCCCCAAACATAGAGTAGAGGGATTCCCTGCTCTGTTCACCTTGATTGAATTTCTTTAAGAAAAGCCAAGAGGAACAATTTATGCGTATTGTGACTTAAAGGAACACTAAAGAAGCCCAGACAACTTCATTTCAACAAAGTGGTTTGGGTATAGTGGACCTGTAATTTTAACCCTGCAATTTAACCATTTAGTAACCAGACCTTGATCCAGCACGCAGAATTGTATCACACCTAGGACTAAAAGGTAACCTGTTACCGGGACTTAGAATGGCCGGACTTAACGTACCAAAGAATAGTCAGGATACTTGCCGAGGTCAGGGACACAGAATGGGACACAACAATGAGGGAAAACCAAAAGTCAAGGATACCAAAAATCAAGGAAGTCAGAACAATGCAAAAAGTCAAATACCAAAATATCAAGATCAGGAACACACTCTCTGATTACCATCAGGCAGAAACCACGACAGGGCAATGAGAGAATGTAAAAATTAGTTTAAATAACCCTCCTGTTTATCCGATTGGTTGTAACCGACCTTTGACCCCAAAACGTGCATGCGCGTGACGTCACACGCATGCCGACATCATTATCAATGTGGGCGGCCATGGGGCCATAAAGTGACATAGATCCTCGGCGGCCGGTGTCCCTAGACATTCTGGGTTTATCAGGTATCCGGGCGCATGGTTGCAGATGGGCACAACTATTCCTGTCAGGACGGTAAATACCATCATAAACATTTCTATGTGCGCATGAATCCAGTCATCCAGGGCAGTTTTGAAATTTCTTCGGTGTTTGTGTTTAGCTGTAATTTTCCTCTTACTCATTTACTGTACCCACACATATTATATACCGTGTTTCTCGCCATTAAATGGTCTTTCTAAAGATACCATTATGTTCATTATATCATATAATTTACTATAAAAGAAATTATAAAATATGAAAAGAATAAAAAAAAATAAAAAAACCACACTTTTTCCAAAATTTGACCACAAAAATCTGTTACGCATCTACAACCTCCAAAAAACACACATGCTAAATCGTTTAAAGATTTTGTCCTGAGTTTAGAAATACCCAATGTTAACATGTTCTTAGCTTTTTTGGGAAAGTTATAGGGCAATAAGTACAAGTAGCACTTTGCTATTTCCAAACCATTTTTTTTCTAACGCAAACTTTAACACGAATATATGTCAGGAATCCCTGAATAACCCTTCACATGTATATATTTTTTAAAAGAAGAAAACCTAAGGTATTAAACTTGGGGCATTTTGACTCTTTTAATGCAGCCATTTTACCACCAATCTATTAATAATACATGTACGGAGAACTTTAAGGGTTGCTGCCAAAGAACACCCCAATATGTGTTCAACATTATTATTATTATTGCGATTTATAACATCTCCTGAGTACAGTGATACCACCCATGTATAGGTGTGTCAGGTTGTCCGGGGGCTAAAAGACCTTATTTGGAGGGTGTGCATTCCAGTTTTCCAACTTGGAATTTTCCCAGCTGGTTATCATGCACCCATGTCCTATTTTGTAATTTACCCCCATCAAACCATATATTTTTGAAAAGTAGACACCTAGGGTATTTCAAATGGTGGTATTTTAACACTTTCCATCCACTAATTCTACTACCAGTCTTTGTCAACCTTTTGGGTAGTAATTTTTTGTGTTATTTTTCACTCACATTGTACTTTAGGCATGGATTCCCGTTATGCATTACTGCCAAAGAACACCCCAATATGTGTTCATCAATATCTCCCAAGTACAACAGAGCCCCCAATGTACAGGTTTTATGAGTTTTTGCAAACTTACAGGGGTCAAATGTAGGGCTTTCTCCTTTTCCATGTTTGCACATTGAAATTTGCCAGATTGGTTTGCTGGGCCTATGTTGCCTCTGAGAACATATAGCAGCCCAGGAATGAAAATGAACCCTATCATGGCACACCATTTGTAAAAGTAGAAAACCCACGGTATTCAAAATGGGGTATGCCCAGTCTTTTGTAGTAGCCACTTAGCCACAAACGCTGGCCAAAGTTAGCATTTTTATTTGTTTTTTGCATTTTTTTACACAAAAACTGCACTTTTACTGGTGATATCATAATCGTTGTGACGGTAGTGACTGGTATCCCCGTCTAGTATTCCTTTTCCCAATAGCAGAGTATCACCTAGAATCCACAGGAATAAATATTGCTGGTATCACCAAATAATCCACACAAGCCAAAGCTTAATACTGGAACAAGACTGATTTACTGGAAGCAACAGGCATTTAATTTATACAGTACAAGCTCCTCCTCTGGGCCAGGATAGATAATTGAGTTTCAGCAACATACTAAACTCAATTATCTGCTGGCCAGAAATATTAACAATTTTCAACATTTTTAGAAATATACTTTTTACATGATATAACGATACAAAAACCACATCCCTGGGTAGCTGAGGATACTAACATATATCCAAATTGCACGAAAATCCGTTCGGTAGTTTCCGTGTCGCATCGTGTAGAAGTTTGACCGGCTCGCCATGCGGTTGTATCCGATTTAGAGTTCCATGAAATTGGTAGTAAGAGCTGGTCTCCGTTTGTGCAGAATTATACGAAAACCACTATAGGTAGAATATAGCTGGTTATATGAGAATGCTCCCATCGTTCGGTTGATTGAAACTCCCGAACGTCGGTCTTGTACTGTAAGGAGAAATAGGTCAGACGGGACTTCCATAAAGTCCAGGAGTTCGTGCGAGTGCCATGCCGAAAACAGTTCCAGGCACTCGACGACCAGGTCCCGCTGGCCTCGTTCGGGAGTTTAAGATGGCCGCCATCCTTTGTTCTCACCATGTCTTCGTATGCTGAATGGCGACCAACTAGGAGCACTCAATTACCTTGTGGTTTCGTGTTGCAACATGGTGTTCTACGTTCTAATTGCTACCCAGGGTGGTCTCTGCTCGGTAAAACGAATAATCTACCGAACACGCACAGAAAAACTAATGCTGCCAAGTCATTTAGGTAGCAGGGAGAGGAAATAGTCGAATGAAGGCAGAGAATACAGGGAAATTCTTCACAATCGTGATAAGTTTTACTGTTTTAAACTCTCATATTTGTGTTCAGCGAAGTCTCCAGAGTATAACAATACCTCTATGTACAGGTTTTATGGTGTTTTTGAAAGTTACAGGATCAATATAGGGTTTGCCAGATTGGATTGCTGGGTCTGTGTTGCCTTTTGAGACCATATGGTAGCCCAGGAATGTGAAATAACCCCATCATGGCATACAATTTTCAAATGTAGACAACCCAGGGTATTGAAAATGGGGTATAAGTCCAGCCTTTTGTAGAAGCCACTTAGTCATAAATGCTGGCCAAAGTTAACATTTTTATTCATTTAAAAAAAAAAAAATAGAAACAATTCTTTCAATTTATATTTTATATATGTAAAGGATTAAGAACTCATCCTCTTACCTGCACTCTAGTTCCAGCATTGCCGTTAAGTCTTTCACTTCCGGGATAAGCCAGTGGGAAGTTCTGATTGCCTCCACGGAGGTTCTGATGCTGCTGCCAGGCGCCTGCCGGTTTCACAAGCTCTGATCACTAACAGTGAGTTTTCCTAACTGGTGTCTCTCAGCATGCCGTCGGGACCAGTATCCCGGTCTCTTTCCTACTCAATGGGTTCTCCCGGCACCAAGCTATCGAGCCACAGACCCCCTGCCACCGCATACACGCCGGGTTTCACGAGCTCTGATCACTAACAGTGAGTTTTCCTAACTGGTGTCTCTCAGCATGCCGTCGGGACCAGTATCCCGGTCTCTTTCCTACTCAATGGGTTCTCCCGGCACCAAGCTATCGAGCCACAGACCCCCTGCCACCGCATACACGCCGGGTTCTCCACGTGTAGTTAGTCTACACATTCAAACTTGCCGCGTGTTGACTTTAATTTTGCTGAAGGATTGGTTCAGCAGGTTTAGCTTCCCCCAAATATGCATGCAACACTGTTCGCTGTATTTGGCTATTTCGTGCTGCCTTTGGCACTTTCAGTTTGGCTTTTTCAAAGCAGTCTTACAATTAAGGGTAAGGGCGTTCGCTGTCATTCCCCTCTTTCGACTGAATTTCAGCTTTTCGTATTTGGTATTTGCAATTTATTTAAGCTGTTATCGCCAACTTGTGGCCTGTCTAGGTAATTATTTTGGTAAAAATACTGTGCTTTATGTATGAATTAGGAGAAAATTCTTGATTAAGGTATGGTTTCTGCAGTCAGGAATATTTGGTGTCAAGGGGTCTGTCTTAGCACCTACAACTTTACAGTCAAATTCAAGGGTATCATGTATTTTATTTCTGTTACTTCAGCCTCATTAGGTTCAACATTTCCTGAAGCTGCTTAGCCAAATCAGAATTTTCAAGTGTTTCTTCATCTTAACTATTGGTATGTGGTTAAAGCTTTGCTTATTTAAAAAAAAAAAAAAGTTCCACTTTTTATTTTGGTAGTTGATTTAGTTCTGTCTCCACAGAGTTTTGATTTCCAAGCCTGAATCTATAGGTCTTTCTTGCCACTTGACTTACTAGTAAGTGGCTATCAATTTTACACTTTTATTAATATACATGTCATTTGCTTGAGTATATTAGATCTTGTTTGTCTATAGGTCTTGTCATATTCGTTTACTCACTGCTTCATTTGTCTTCACAGTAGCCGCCCTTGGGGGCTAACACTATAGGTCACTTTTCCACAAGACGTGTTAGTAAGTGTCGATTCTTTCAACTGTTTATTTTATGGAATATAGGTTATCCATTTATGGCTATAATTAGGTCTGGTTAGCTCATAGGTCTTCTCCCAGGTATTAGTTTACCCGTTACCCCATCTGTCATTCTAGTTTCAGGAGTAGATACTCCTGTTCCCGCTCCAACCTCGTATATACAAGTCCAGTTACTTGACCAAGGTACCGATTTACTCAATTAGATACCCCTATAGTAACGTGGTAACTTAGACTGGCATTTTCTCTAGCTAGGTGTAGTCAGGGCCTCACCTGTCACGCCCAACCTTTTTTTGTCTATCGGTTATCGGTCACCTGAGGCTTTTTCCCCAGCATTACGCTAGAGGGTATTTACACCCACGTGCCAATTCCTAGTTAAAGCCTCTCTCGCTGCTCTGTGCCTAGTTAGGGATAACCAAATTCACCTCCTGGTAATACAAATTCACCACTTGGCATTAGCTACTACCAGTCCACCATTTTTTGTTTCACCGATCATTAACACTATGTTACACGTTGTCTATTCTTCCTATCTACAGTGTCAAACAAGTCCATTCAAGGCGACAACTTATCTTTACCTAGTGCCCCGGCTAGGAACGATTCCCCCTCCAGGCAAGGGGATTCAGCTAGTCCTAGTTCTTTAAGATCATGGACTATACCGAAGATCACAGCCGAATTAAAGAAGAAACATATAGCCTACCCAGCCACGGCTAGGAAAGCTGAACTGTTCAGATTGTTAAGGTCTCAGAATGACTCAAACCTCTGGTCCCAGTCATGAAGGGATATTTCAACCCAGTTTGGCTGACCTGTATTCATTAATACTAATTTAACTTCCTTCGTTAACACCATTGCTACTAGGCTCGGGTCATGGAAGTTGCTACGATTGCTGGTACTTCCTCCTCGGCTGCTGTTCCTCCTGGGTAATGCTCTTATGGTTGCTAACCAGCCCTCAGTCTCCACCAGTACCATAATCACGCCAGCCCATCTAGTTCTTCTGATGCTGAGAAAGGACATCTTGGAGGGCAAAGATGTCAACCTGGTGTCCTTGCTCAAAGCGTCACAGGATGTCATCGACAACAAGTCTAACTCATTTGGTGACTTGTCGGTTGTTATGAAGGCATGAAACCCTAGGCTTAACAAAAAACGTTCTATCCTGGAGTTTGTTTTAGCTTTTGGGTTGTTTAGGGATGTAATATGTTCCGTTTTTCCCCAAAGACGTGAAGAGTTCGACTTGTACTTGCACAAGCTGGTCGACCTCAGGCATAAGTACGGCAGATTCGCGTTTTTTGACTATCATAATTCATTTTCCGGAAAAGCAGCCGCGGCACTTGCCCAGTTTAGCATTAAAACTGATTGGAGTTCTCTTGAAATGGAACTATTTTGTAGGCATTTTGCCTGTCTAAACGTTCCAGCTTGTGCAGTTTGCTCGTCGTCTACTCACACAACAAATCTGTGCCCCAACGATACTGAGCTCCCATCCACCAGCCAAACCTCCGTACCCCAGTCTGCTAGTCCCATTCATCGGGACCTAAAAAACAAGTTGGGGAGACCCATTGTCTTTTTGGGCAAATTTCAGATTTGCAACAACTTTAACGCCGGTGGCTGCAGGTACAGCGCCTGCAGATTGCTGCATGTTTGCTCCCTGTGTTTCCGGGCACATGCAAAAACCATGTGCCCAAATAGATTGTTCCATAGGCAATGACTTTCACTGGTTAACTTCACCACTTTGCAGCACTGTTTGTCACAGCACCCTTCACCTCACCTAATTCAATTTCTCACCGAAGGGTTCACTCACGGATTCCACACAGGATTAGTCACAATCCCCTCAGGGTCACTCGAATGTGCTAATCTATAATCTGCCTTGAATAACCCACAAGCCGTGTCGTTACCTATCTCTAAAGAATTCGAGCTAGGCTTCATGATTGGGCCTTTCACTCTGCCTCCCTTCTCTAGCTGGAGAATCAGCCCACTGGGCATCGTTTCTGCAAAGTTTTTGAATAAACTACGCTTGATAATCGACTTTTTGGCTCTTCATTCCTCCACCACACCTAGACTAAACTCACTAATCCCTTCTGAGGATTTTTCCCTTCAGTACGCTAAAGTGGACGATGCTATTGCTACCATCATCAATGTTGGCAGGGGAGCATGGTTATGTAAAACTGACATAGCTAATGCCTTCAAGCTGTTACTTATCCATCCCTCCCTGTGGCATCTGCAGGGATTTAAGTGGGAAAACCAGTACTATTTTGCTATGTGTAGCCCTATGTTGTTCGATATCTTTGCAGAAATCTTGTGCTGGCTTCTGCTTTACCCCAGTTAGTCTAGCATGGATGGTAAATCTATTTCACACTCTGGGTGTACCAATCTCTGAAGCTAAGACTGATGGGCCTGGTACAAAAATCACCTTCCTGGGGATTGTACTCTATTCTCAATCCCTGGAAGCTAGCTTACCTGAAGAGAAAGTCAGCAGAATTCTGGAAGGTTTATCTGCTTGTTTAAATAGAGGGGTTTGCACTCGCAGTTGCAATCACTCTTAGGGACCTTGAATTTTGCCATGAGGATAATTCTAGAAGGCAGATCCTTTATCTCATCTATTATGCATGCTGTACAGTTTACCTGACGATGATAGCGTTATTGACATAGACTCCCAAGCAAAAGCTGACATTTCTATGTAGCAATTATTTCTGTCATCATGGAACAGCAAGTCTATGTTCATCTCAGATAAATCCCCTGTCACCTGTACAGATGCAGCCAGTACTGCAGGTTATGCTGCAATCTTCGGGAATGAGTGGGTCCAGGCACCCTGGCCCCCAGAAACCAACCAATTACACAATTTTTCAGACTCTTCGGCTGTGTTCGAAATTTTCGCAGTGGTAGTTGCAGCCTTCACTTGGGGGGTATCCTGGAGAGCTCAAGCTGTCAGTTGTTTTCTCGATAACCAGGCAGCTTGTCACATTCTCAACAAGGGTTGCACCCAATCTTTGGTTATTATGGAAAGGAGGTTGACCTGGCTTGCAGCTACTCATCAGTTTTTATTACTTGCACACATGTTCCCGGTGTACAAAATGTGGCTGCTGATGCATTATCCTGCTTCGAATTTCAGGAATTTTTCTGGTATCACCGCACAGCAAACAGACAAGCGATCAGGCCGCCTCTTTTCGAAGAACTAATCCTGGATTAGAAGCTCTCCTAGCGCAGAGCTTTCAAGTTATTTTCCAAATTTGTGGGAGACTTTCATATAATAAACTGCTTTTCTATTGAATCATTGGTCGCATTCACTACCTTTTGCCACATTTCTTTAAAACGAGCACACACCACCATCAAGTTATACCTCACAGGTATTCAACACCAAATGCTTATCACATTCCCTAATAATTCACCTTTCCTGTCAGCTTATCCCATAAAGAGTGTTCTAAAGTGTATACAGAAGTTAAACTTCTCTCAAAACCTACAGCGATTGCCAATTAATAGCTCTAAATTCTGAGACATTTCAAACCTAAATGACACCAGGTCCAGAGAGGTCCAGCGAGTTTACCATCTCAAAATTCTCAGACAGCAATTACCTAAAAATACATAACCTTGTCAAAACAAACAATTACTACATCTTGACATTAAGACAGACCAAAACTAGTAAAATGGGCCCTGCAGTAGAGATTCCCTACTATCCAATACATTCACCCTGGTGCCTGGTCAAGGTTCTAGACTCACTCGCTAGTACACTTATAGGCTCATCAAAAGATTCACCTCTACTCGAATTACACGGTAAACAACTAACAACGCACAAGTTCGTTCTGTACCTACTAGTTAGGTTGGGGCTTAGTCCAACCTCTTACTTCGGTCATTCATTCCACATAGGTGCAGCTTCAGCACACCACTACTGACTTTTAGTATTATAATATAACTTATTAGAATCTAACAGTTATCTAATTCACGATTGGCTATCGTTTCCGAGCACAAATATAGGTGTCAGCCTGTAGTTATGGGAGGAGTTGTCTGGCCTATTTAAGCCCACACCTCCTCCTCTTACCTGCACTCAAGTTCCAGCGTTGCCCTCCCTCCTCACCCTTTTGGTAAATATTTAAATAGCATCACCTTTATCAGGTGGGCCCTCTTTATTACAGGCCTAACCACTCGTCGGTTCCGGCACACCACTACCGATTTTTAGTATTATAATATAACTCTTATTAGAATCTAACAATTATGTATCTCTCTCAAAGTACACTTATACATATATAATGCATTTTTCTGATTTCATTATAATATATTATAAAATGCTTTAATTATTTTAGAATATATAATATATGTAAAAAATTTTTTTTTTTTTTTACTTTTTAGCAGCCTGGAGGACTGCCTGACAACTTAGACAGTCCCCCTGCTGGCAGCACCTAGAGTCTTATTGCGGTGATGTGATCATGGTGATCACATGGTCCTGGAGGGCCGGGGTGGCCGGAGCTGCTGCAGGAGGACTGCTGGGGTCTCCAGCAGTCCACTCCAACCGTGATCGCCGGTCCAGGTAAGTCCAGGGCTCCTATTTGCCGTAGACATACTAGGTACATCCGCGGTCATTAACGACTGTTTTTTGTCGGACGTATCCAGTACATCCACGGTCATTAAGGAGATATACATAGAATGAAATTATTTACATATCTGAGTGTATTTTGATATAAATATATATTAATATCAAAATAAAGTTAGAATAAAAATATATATATTTTTACAGATTATTTTTAATTAATTATTTAATTTTTATAATTATATGTATACACTATATACACAATATATATATACACACACACACACACACACGATACCAGTAGAGAGCACTCAGGAGTCTTTCAAGGTAAATTTCATCTGTTGCTTTATTGAGTAATTACAAATTCACACAACGTTCCAGTCGATGTTTCAGTCTATAAAATACTTTGAGATGTCCTCACTTCGCTTTATGGGAATAGATCACATACCCATCTCACCCAGAGGAGGAGATCGTGATAACCTGTTACTCAGATTTGAGGCTTTCTGGATATACACGTTGGAAACATTATCACCATCTGGTTTAAATGAGAAGAACTCATTATATTGTTTTTTTACCTAGAAGATAATATATGATTGAGCTATGTTTTACAGAATGCATTAATATAGTACAGTTATTTGCCGTAACTCCATGATGGAAGTAGTCCATATAATGCTTCAAAATTGCACTGACAATATTTTGCTATATAACTGAGTTAATATTTAGCTAATGACGATATGTACTATGTATTTATGTTCCCTTGATTAGGGTTGAAACATTTGTATATACTTTATTTTTATAGTTATTTATCTTTTATTACTTTCTGACTTATCTACACGAGAGTATGTTTCACATACCAGTTACACATAGGGTTAACTTCAATTTATTACATAATTCAAACATGTTTACGTAATTAATGACATCACTCTGATCCGTTGTTACATTTCACCTGTTCACCTCCAAATAGGATCATTGCATTTTTTGTATATAAGGTATCCATCTCACATACACAATTGTCTTGTAAAAAGTCTTTTATAGACTGGAACGTTGTGTGAATTTGTAATTGCTCAATAAAGCAACAGATGAAATTTACCTTGAAAGACTCCTGAGTGCTCTCTACTGGTATCGTATACAGTTTGGTTGGAGACAGCACCGGAGCATTAAAAGACCGGGAGCACTGAGTGCTGGGACCAGGGACATATATATATTATATTATTATTATTATTATATATATGTTATATATATTACATATATACACATGTGTAATTTTACTCTAAGTTTATTTTTATATTATTATACAAAAAAATACACTTATTATGATGTTATATACAAGATATATTTCCATATTATATATAGATATAATATATGTATATGCATGTTAATTTATTCACTTTATGTTTTTACTTTTTTTTAAACTTTTTATTTTTTCACCCGTAGGGGGTCTTCCTGTCAGTTCAGGCAGTCCCCTTGCTGGCAGCACTATGGACATCTATTGTGGCCATGTGACCGCTCTTTAAGAGCGGTCACATGGTCCCTGGGGATCCTAAATTGCAGAGGGGGGACTGTCTGGGCTGTGGCTGTGCCCAGACAGTCCCCCTCAGAAGAAGAACGGATAACCGGCAGGGGAACGGCGGAAATCGGTAAGTACATGGGGAGGTTAGGGGTTAATTTTTTTCCCCAACATTTACTGAGTGCCTCAACCCCTGGCGGCACTCAGTACAGGAAGAGCATCGGAAGCCTGCCTAAAGGCTTCCGATGCTCTGCACTACACTGCTGGGTGCCCTGCCGGGTGCCACATACGTCAACCCGGAAGTAATTGCTCTGGGGCGAGCGATCACTCGGGTGCCCGGCAGTGAGGGTGGGTATTACAGGATGCCTCAACATTGAGGAATCGTGTACTACACTTAGAGCAGCTGGAAGCGATCACGATCACTTCCAGTGCTCATTTTGGCAGCGGACATAAAGGGTACATCAGCGGTCGTTAACGACCGTTTTTTGGCTGATGTACCTTGTACGTCTGCGGTCACTAAGGGGTTAAAATGTATACATTGTAGGGTTAACACGTTTGTAGTGGCTGTCTGGCATTTCTGCTTCTACAACTGAATGAAACGGTCATGTGATCTAATTATAGACCATTTGATTGGCACAGTGTTGTGTCCTGCCATGCATGTGCACTAGCCTCCCAATGTTTCCCTATGGGGACCAACTGAATCGGCGGAGATCATTAATCTTAATAATCTCAGTTAAGGCAGTGGAATGTCAAGTCAGAGACCAGTGGAGCAAGAGCTGAACGGTAAGTATAACTCACCTTTCAAATCATTCCAGCCTTAGGGGAGGGAGGGATTAATATAGGTATACTAAAAGTATAGCCTTTAATGTCAAGAGGAGTGGTTCTTTAATGCAAATAGGTCATTGTCTAAAGTTAGATGTTCTCACTACTTAAATATATGTCCCACTTGTATCCATTAACTAAATAATTGTTACTCAACTTCGATCTCACACCACACAGGTCTTGCCATAAATAACCCCTAGTGAGATCACCATTTCTGATAATCTCAGCCAATCCAATGCTTCCCCACATAGACAGAAGGGGGCTGCTTGAAAATCACAGTGTTGCGCCAATCTGTATTGTACCAACGCATCCCTTAAGGGAGCGCTCAGCATCTTCATGCAGAGTTTAAGGAAGCCAAATGTAGGCCCTACAAAGATTGCAGGACTATAATAGGAAGCATCACTAGTGGCTTTCTGAGTGACAGCTACTGTCACATTTAAAAATGCCTTTTTCACGGAATGGGCAGTGATTTGAGATCAGAGACAGCAGGGACAGTCTCTTTGCATCAAAACCACTACATTCAGTGGTCATGGTTTTGGTGCTTAGGGCATCCACTTAACATAATTTAATAGGAATACAAATTACATGCATGTGATTATTTTTTTACAACCATTCATACATTTTAAATTAACTTCAGTCAACTTTTATGTAATATATGACACTTCCAAAAACTTTAAGTAGGTTGTTGAATTTTGAAAAGACCATCATTACAACTAGAAATGCATGGAAACTACAATGGACAATTTGTTATTGGTAGTAATAGGTGGCCTGATGGATATGATGTCCTTGACATAATACAACGTATTTTACATCAGTTTCAGGTGGGTCTCCATTGCACTCTAGCATCTTTTGTTCAGTAACTCATTAGCAGTACGCATTTACCTTAAGTTCAGTGAATATGTAATGCCTGTTGCAATTAGTTGGAAACCACTTTTTAGGTTCTGCTTGCAAGAATTACTGTACATTGTTTTGTCAATTACTGTGTGTGTTCAGTAATGTGTTCAGTAATTACTGTGTGTGTTCAGCCTACTGATGTCAATAGAGGTGCTGCCTGAGGCCAACCCTTGAAATGAGATAGGCAGATAATAATATGAACTAGATTCCATAGACAGCCAAGTCTTGTTAATGGAAAACAACACACCAGAATCAGTAACAAATACCTTATCGTAGTAATACTGGTTAGAATCGTCTATGGAGCCGCTTTTCTTTACATTGTCATAGGTTTCTAAAAACTTTTTATCTACACCTTCAAGCGGGTGAGAAGATGAAGAGTGGTTTGACAATCCATTGGGAGAATTTGGGAAAGAACCTTGCTGGGTGAGCGTCAGGCTGTTTTCTCTCCGACTACGATCCAATATATTCCTGAAAGTAAATTAACCACCAAACTTTAAAACAAGAATTTTATTTTATATCAGCAAAATTTACTTTTAACAAAAACTCTTAAACTTGAAAAAATGTGTGTTCTTGTCATGTTATGTGCCATTTCCTGGTACTAACCTATTGGTCATTTCAGCTGATCACCTGCCTACTTGTTCAAATGAGATATGCACAAGAGAGACCGAGACATGGAATTTCTTTGTATGTACCTTTTAACTCCCTTTTATTTGTAGCTATATGTATGTATATAGTAAAAAATGGTAAAAACACAGAATAAAGAAAAAAATTAAAAGCACAAAAAGAAAAAAAATGCCTATAATATAGAAATAAATAGTCTGTTTTTTAGGATAGAGGGAGTAAAAGTATATAAATGAAATTAACACAATTAATTTGATAACACACTAGCTCTAAACTGGAAAAAAAAAGGTCACCAATCCTCCCTATAGAAATAAATATAGCAATATCATTTATAAAAAATTAGGTATTCCGGCAGCTAGTCAGATAGTAATAAATGGAATGGTAGTACAGTAAATATCAGCATTCAACTCAAGAATCAATTGGATATATATATATATACACACACACACATACAGGACAAAAAAAAATCATAAATAATTAGTTCATAATAAGTCCATATAAAAAGTCCTAGTCATAAAACTAATGACTGAAACTGTAAATTATACTGAATGAAATAAGATAATAGTTATAGTCCAATAATCCACAGGCTGTATCAAAAGGGAAATTCGCACTATACGGTGTATATAGGAGATGCACAGTGGTGGAGCCCTTTAATTATAAAGCAAAAAACAGAAAACAAAAAAAACACAAAGAAGTCCAAAGGAAGAAAAAAAGGAAGCAATACAGTACCTTGGACAACTGCTTGCTGATATACAATAAATAATAGTAATGAGCAATAAAAATAAAAATAAGGGAGGGAAATGCTTATTTTTGTGCAAGTAATTTCGAGCAACCGTTGGCACCATTGAATTTATTTCATTTTATCCTTTGTTTGTGAACTTATTTTAGTCTTGGGTTTTTTAAATAAGCATTTCCCTCCCTTATTTTTATTGCTCATTACTATTATTTATTGTATATCAGCAAGCAGTTGTCCAAGGTACTGTATTGCTTCCTTTTTTTCTTCCTTTGGACTTCTTATTGTGTTTTTTTGTTTTCTGTTTTTTCCTTTATATTTATAACATTCAGTGAATTATAGTGTCTTTGCAATAGGGCTCCACCACTGTGCATCTCCTATAAACACCGTATAGTGCGAATTTCCCTTTTGATACAGTCTGTGGACTATTGGACTATAACTATTATCTTATTTCATTCAGTATAATTTGCAGTTTCAGTTATTAATTTTATAATCAGGGCTTTTTATATGGACTTATTATGAACTAATTATTTATGATTTTTTGTCCTGCATTTATATATATCTCCAATTGATTCTTGAGTTGAATGCTGATATTTACTGTACTACCATTCCATTTATTATTATCTGACTAGCTCCTGGAATACCTCATTTTTTATAAATGATATCACTATATGTATGTGTATATTTGCATATATTTAAAAACAATATGATGTTGCAGGACATACATTTAAAGTCATGTACATCTCTGCAGTGTAGGGTGGTTCATAGGGTCAGCTCCGTACCAGTTTGAGATATGTTTGTTTGTTCAAACATGTGTTATGTCCTTTTAATTATTTGTGTTGCAATTTCCCTCCCCTCAACCCTTATATTTCCCCCTTAATGATGATAGTAAAAGTAAAAAATAAAAAAAATCACCCTTATGGTCTGACAGCCTTCTCCTTTTCCCACTTCCTCCTTTTCAGGTAGCATACATATTGCTCTAAAATACAGGACTGCCTACTGGGCTGTCAAAGGCTGCTAACACCAGGGGGTGGAGTTTGCATTCTCTATTCTGACTTCGCGCTTGCTGTATAGTTTAAGGCTGGCGTTTTTCTGCTCCATGGAGCAGGTTGAATACATTGCATCAATAAGTACACAGCAGGGCTAGGGAGAGCTGTCAGACACTGCCTCTTTACTTTTCAAATTGTGTAACCCATACTGCCATATGTGTGAGAAGTGATGGCCCAATGGAGCTGTATGATCAAAGGGGGGATAGTGTGACAAATGCTCAAATCATAGTGTTTTAGTGGCAGTGAAGACTTCAGAGTGTGAAAAGTGTAAAGACCGAAGTCTGACAGTTCTACCCCAGCATCATGCTTTTAATATATCTCTGCACTTTCTACCCTGCAGTCTACAATAAGCCTTTCCTGGCTCATTGCTTTCAGTCCCTTCCTCGCTCTCTCTCCAACCAACAGCTCTCCATTGCAGTCTCACCCACGCAGGAAATTATTGCACTGTACCCCAGCCAAGTAGGATTTTGTCTGATATCCTGCATCTAGAAATTGAACTAAACTGTTTAGTTGTAATGTCTTACCTTTAGCACTGACGTTCTTACTGACAACATGAGCTTCAGCTAGCTATTCAACTAAAAATATAATGTACTCGGACTAGGAGTGGTAAGGCATACGTGTCAGAAAGCATAAAATATATATTTTTAAAATAAAATAATACATAAGAAAAAAATCATAACTGCCCTCTAGGTGACAATGGAAGTAATAACAACCTTAAATTTTATTATTGGCAGAATATGGGAATTAGCACATTAAGTCCAACAGTTTATGAGAAAAGTTTAAGGTGAAGGGTCAGATCAAATTCTATGGGGGAATCCAAACACCCAACCATCTAAAAACTTCACCAGTCACCACTAAAATTTACAACTTGCACTGCACTACATACTTTAAAAACATATATTCGGTATATAGTGTGATCCTTGTCACCAGGTAGCACGGTCCTCTAGGGCAAAAACATGCACAGTCCTTGAAATTGCATATACTCAGGCACTTTATTTGTAAATCCACACAGGATACAGCAGTTAAATGAAAACATAAATGTAACAGAAAACCCTATAAACAAAAACCTAGCTCGTCTGAGCACTAACTGACATAAGTTTCCCTATCTCTCAGGGTTAAACTAAACAATATTGCACCAACCTTTTAGATAGCAACACTCTGCTATCTAACCTGTTGCTTTCCTTTCTGCACTCCCAGTGCTCCAAGCCAGCCTTGCCCTGACTGCTTTCCTTTCTGCACTCCCAGTGCTCCAAGCCAGCCTTGCCCTGACTGCTTTCCTTTCCGCACTCCCAGTGCCTCCAAGCCAGCCTTGACTGCTTCCTTCTGCACTCCCAGTGCCTCCAAGCCAGCCTTGACTGCTTCCTTTCTGCACTCCCAGTGCCTAGTCTCTTTGACTCTATCTGGAGAGATCAGCCTCTCTCCTACCTGCTTCCTGGGAGGAAGCCAGCAATCCCTCTCCTTTTCCTGCCTAGCCGGGAGGAGTTTATTCCCACTGCAACAGCTGATTACCTGCAGCTGAGCAGTGGGTTGGAGACAGTCCAAAAAACCCTGGCCTGGATCTAGGTCTCCCCAGAACACCACTAAACTGTGGAGTGGAGCATTGGCCCACCCTTCTCTCCAAATGCTCCACCCCAGGGGCCCATAACTAAACAATGCGTTGTGTTGTGCAACACACAAACTACACATACTCCCCCTGGGGTTAAAAGGCCTATCTGCCTTCACTTTATCACATATCCTCCCCCCCAGCTCAGACCCATCGGGTCGAGCGACCTTAGAACACAAACCACGAATGTTCACGTCACCTGGGGCTGTACCCACAATATCAAACACTTGTCTTAAATCACATTTTTCTGGCTGGAGCAGAACACTTTTCAAAGTAGCCTCACTCCCTGAATTAATTAGTGCTTGTGCACTCTTCCCTACCACCATCACCACTTTTAGCTGTGCTGTAACACCACCAGTCACCATACACATCTTTAAGCAAGGCAATACTATCCTATGCAGAGCCCTTATTCCTATGTCACACTGTATTGGCTCTTCACTCTCAGGACAGTTATATGTAATATGTCCATGCATGTGGCAGTTGAAGCATCTGAGTTTCTCAGTCTGGTCTCGTAGCTGTAATGGGACTTTTGGGTACGTTCTACCATTATATTGTCCCAGACTCAGTATCAGATTTTGTCCTTTCTTTCCAGTTTCCCCGCTTATTTGGTTGCTAGCAGATCTAGGCTGATGATCAGTACTGTGTGGCTCTTTAGTAGCCAAGTTCCTCTGAATCATCATCTGCTTCCACATCCACAGCAGCTTCTGGTTTGATAGTCTCTCAATGTCCGAGTTACTTTCAAACGCAAACTTTACAAAAGCTTTGCGTGTAACTAACTTTTCTATATCACTTATACGTCCAGTTGTTTCATAAGACGAATTTGCTGGATGCTCAACCTCTTCAAGACCTGGTTCTGTCACCAGCTCATCCTTCACTGGAACCGGTCCCTCCATGAAGGGCTTCACAACATCCTCCATCTGTTCTGTGAATCCCTGGGAACCTTCATTGCTTTCTACGGTTAATGCTACAGGTCTCATCTCTATATCCTCAGGGGGTTGGCCAAGGAGGCTGTCTAGAGCACCCTCCTCCTGCATGAATGCAGCCCTTGATCCCAGCTCCATCCTATCATGCTCGGCCTGGCTTGGCATGGAGCGCTGTTCTACCTGAGGCCCAGACTCCTGGCTTAGTTCATCTCTCCTTTGCCTGGTTTCCTCCCCAGGGGTATCCTCCACTTGCTCGGCCTTGAGTGGCCACCTCTCAGTGTCAGAAATGCTTTCCTCTGGGCTGTCTGGCAGTCTCCCTGTTCCCTTGGGGGTGTCCAGAGACGCAGTCATGGCCTCTCGCTGGATCATGACAGCCCCGGTATCAAACAGCCGGTCAGGCAGTCCGAGTCCCGCCTTTAATTCCACGACTGTGTTCCCAGAGTCTGGCAGCTGTTCCAGGTAGTTAGTGCGCCCAGGCCTTGTAGCAGTAGTCTCTGCCAGCAGATCCAGTTCTATGGCTCCCAAATAATCCTTCAAAGTCTTTGTAGCAATACCAGACGTGTTTGAAATATTTAATTCAGCTGCGCCAATGTCACCTGCTTTGTAACTTTCGCCTTGGTCGGGCTTAGGTGCGGACGTGCCCATCTTATCATCACAGCTTGGTTCTGTAACTGTCGCTCTCTCTTGGCTTAGATCAGAAGCAGCTACTTTGCCTTTCTTTTCTCTGCCAAACTGTTCAACAGCTGGTCGACAATCTTGGGTAGCCTCGGCTACTAAACAGTGCACCGCATTGCTATACTCAGCTGGGGTGCTTTGCTTCTCTCCATTAAGCTCAGCTCTTTTGCAGTTGTCTTCTCTGACTCCCCAAGTCAGTCTGCTTTTCATGCCTTTAACTTGTTCAATTGGGTGTACATCAGGGGCTCCTGCTTCGTTTTCTTTTATATGTGATCCCCCTGGAATTGCATCTATTCCCTTCTCTTCACCTGTCCTTCTGGACGCTTCACTTAGAAAATCTAGAACTCTTGTTTCCACTATAAAATCTGGGTTCCACAATAACTGGTCATCATTTTCATACACTCTTTCAGTTTCCTTGTACTTGCAGATGCCAACTGGAATCTCTGCCTGGAACATGGAACCAACCATTATTTCCTTTTGCCAGTCTTCTGAAGGAACATAATCCTCATCATCCTCTGATTCTTCTTCTGTTACCTTGGGAAGATTTATCAGTACCTTTCTGTTTTCAAATGTCTTTCCAGCATTCTCTTGAAACATGCAAGATTCAGTTTCTGAGCATGAAAATATTTTTGTTTCTAACTCTTTTCCCAAGATCGCTTTATCTGTTGTGATGCCATACAGAGCAAGTTTGAGGCTTTCATGTGAAGCTGCAACGTTTTGATTTTCAAATAAACACTTGTCAACTTCAGTAATCAGTTTGTCTCGTTCTCCCTTCTGATTCCTCTGACCTCTCTTACTTTGGCGCATGTCATCACTGTCACCATCACTGCCTCTTGACAATTCCGGGTTTTCCTTTAGATTTGCTGGTCTCGTTACTACCTTTTTCTCTTTTGCTTTTTGTTCCATGGATGATCCAACTGCCTTTTCACCATCTTCCACATTATCACTGCTTTCAGGATCAATTTTATCCTTCTTGCCTTTTAATTCCGGTTCTCTCTCTTCTGTGTGTTTCTCAACATCAAGCTTTGCTGCCTCCATGCTTTTCAGCTTGCTAAAGACTTCTTCTACTGCCTCTGTCATCTTATGCAGGATGTCAGTAGCTTGATTACGGGGTCCCTTGTCCCCACACACCCTGCTGGAGGCAATCTGCAAAACATCAGTAAGGGCAGCTCTATACTCCTGCTGAGCATCCCTCAGGTTCTTAATCTGTGCAGCCAGGAAATGGTTGGTGTTTTGTTGTATAGCAGTTGCCTCTTGTTGTACAGCAGTTGCCTGTACCAGAGCCTTCAGCAGGTCCTCCATTATAGCACCAAGCAGGTAATAGTCTTAAAGGTACAGTGCTACTATTTTTTTTTTTTTTTTATAAACAGGTCTGCAAAAATAAAAAGTCCTCAAGCAGACTACTGAATGACTGGCACACCCACAGACCCTCAATTTGCTACTATGCCCGCATTCTCCACCATATTGTGATCCTTGTCACCAGGTAGCACGGTCCTCTAGGGCAAAAACATGCACAGTCCTTGAAATTGCATATACTCAGGCACTTTATTTGTAAATCCACACAGGATACAGCAGTTAAATGAAAACATAAATGTAACAGAAAACCCTATAAACAAAAACCTAGCTCGTCTGAGCACTAACTGACATAAGTTTCCCTATCTCTCAGGGTTAAACTAAACAATATTGCACCAACCTTTTAGATAGCAACACTCTGCTATCTAACCTGTTGCTTTCCTTTCTGCACTCCCAGTGCTCCAAGCCAGCCTTGCCCTGACTGCTTTCCTTTCTGCACTCCCAGTGCTCCAAGCCAGCCTTGCCCTGACTGCTTTCCTTTCCGCACTCCCAGTGCCTCCAAGCCAGCCTTGACTGCTTCCTTCTGCACTCCCAGTGCTCCAAGCCAGCCTTGACTGCTTCCTTTCTGCACTCCCAGTGCCTAGTCTCTTTGACTCTATCTGGAGAGATCAGCCTCTCTCCTACCTGCTTCCTGGGAGGAAGCCAGCAATCCCTCTCCTTTTCCTGCCTAGCCGGGAGGAGTTTATTCCCACTGCAACAGCTGATTACCTGCAGCTGAGCAGTGGGTTGGAGACAGTCCAAAAAACCCTGGCCTGGATCTAGGTCTCCCCAGAACACCACTAAACTGTGGAGTGGAGCATTGGCCCACCCTTCTCTCCAAATGCTCCACCCCAGGGGCCCATAACTAAACAATGCGTTGTGTTGTGCAACACACAAACTACACATACTCCCCCTGGGGTTAAAAGGCCTATCTGCCTTCACTTTATCACAATAGGTAAATGAGAGGAAAACAAGTAAAAACAGTAAAAATATAAACGTATGTCACCTACTTTGGAGAATCCTGATCTGATGACCTGAAGAAACAAATTGTATAAATTTAACAAACACACACTTGAGATTACCTTTTAGCCTACCAAAATGAACAATAAAGAACATGGGATCTGCTGTATTATATTAAGCATGATCAATGAATATTACATTAATAAAACAAGTAAGAAAAAAAGGGCCAAATGTACTACATTGATTACTTTTTTTTTTTTTAAACTATCAGACTGCATTTCCATGACCATTATGAATATAATATAATTTAATCACAAATGTCTCATATCTTAAAGATGATTGCAGAATATTTTGTTGGTTGATTTTATGTTTACAGAGTTTAATAAAATTGCATTACTATGTTCTAATGTTTAATTACATTCGATAGAACACACTTAAACAAAAAAAAATGTTCAATTCAATAGGTTGAATATATGTTTTTATTTTATTAATATATACCCTTTTAAGACAAATATATAATTGTTTGTGATTTCAGGATATATAAGGATTAACGGTCATGAATATTTTTTTTTGCCACATATAATTTACACAGCCAAATATCTCCTAGATAAGATTAAAGTATATTAAACTCTAATATGGGTTATATTCTTCCTTTTTCTATATTTGTGAATGGCAACGGAACTGTAAATGGACATTTTTTAGGACTGAGCATGCTCCACCAAAGGTGGAACACATGCTCTAAGAAGTATTCCCTTTTCTTTGATCGACATTGGTGAAACCAGAAATGGCATGATAGAAGGGAGGACAGATATGATGTCGTGTCTGAGAGAGGGCTGAAATAAAGTTGGAAGGAGGCTTGGAATGCAACACTCAATCTAACGGGCATCGTAAGTACAGTTGAGTGAAATTACAGGATCAAGACAGGTATTTAAAAGGTGGACAGGAGGACAGAAGGATTTACAGCACCATAGACTGAGGAAACGCGTCTCTGGAGCACTTTATACTTGAAATACTTCTGGTATATTTGAATCTTGTTGTTTTGTAATAGTTATTATGTTTTTAACGTAAACTAAAGTATATAATTGGAATTACGTTACCAGCAGTTCTCCTGTTCAAAGAAGGTGCTAGAGTCCTTAACTATACAAAACTTATGCATAGAGCCAATTTTTATTGGCCAAGTCTTCTGGAATCTAAAAATAAAGAAGCGGTCGCCTGACAGACCATAAGGCTATTATCACCAGAGCTAGGTCTATTAGCTCTGGGAAATGTGAGTGAGACTTCATAAACTTTTTTATTAATTTTCTTAACATACTAAAGGTTTTGGACTATTGTGTGCTTTCATTCTATTTTAAAATGTTGCAATTTAATCAATGCAAGTAACAGCAAGTTTAATTGTATAATTTTTAGATGTGTTTGTCACATATTTTATGAAGTGTAATAAAACAAAACCAAATACAAAGCTAAGCGAAAGATATCTAAATGAAATAAGCATGATCAAACAATATATCAACTGCTACTGAATCACAAAATTTGAATATAGAACATTTACAATAAATGCTGGGTAAATGTACCAACAATTCTCATACCTACTATGAGGACTGCGATTCTGAAAAAACTCAGAGTCACTGTCTTTGGATGTTGGAGAGCCTTTATAAGTATAAAACACATCTTCTGTCTCCGTCACATAGGTCATCTCATTGGCTAGGTTGTCAGCAGAGGAATGTTGTGGTTTCCTAATCACATGACGCAACCTTGGACTCCGCCTTAAGACAGTTACAAAAAAAACAACAACAACAAAAAGAAAACTTTAAAGAAATATAATGTAGTTGGTGCAGAGAGCAAGCTACTGCAAAATACTTCATATCGCAGAAAAAAATGTTCTTAAAGAGAAAGCACATAAATAATTGGTCACTGCACACACTGTACAGACAGACTAACCAAGTAGCATTGGGAGAGAAGTTATACTCACACACCAAACAATCTTCTCATCTTGGAAAAATCGACTCTACCCTCTGCATTCTACTACATATAAGTTAATTTTAAGATACATAACTGGCAACTAATTGAATCCTCTATTAACTTAATTATTCAGTAGCAATAATTTTAATGCAATAGTTCATCTATGATCCAATAGGTACAATTTATAGTGTGAGGAGGATGGAGCTGGCATCCCATAATTGCCAGCTTGTGGGTGCAAGCTAAAAATCATGGTATGTCCAATTACCACTTGGAAGCATAGGAAATCTTTGAAGGTGAACACATTGAAATATTAATGAATCGTTCATTTTAACACTTGCTACCACAATGTACAGATGAAAATTAATTTTATATTGAGTGGCACCAATTTACGGTAGACATGACAAATGCAGATTACATGTATAACATTCGGTGATAAACTTCAAATTAATCAAATATAATAGACAAAGCATATTGTTACCAGTTTGGAGTAATTGGAGGGGAGCGAGATGGAAGGCTTTTGGTCTCCAGATGTTCAGTAGACACAGATCTTCTCAACTCAGTGTTCCATACCATTCCACCAATCACTTTCCTGCATAGCTGAGTGCTGGCACATCTGTCATTATAATGGAAAATTATAAAAAATTATTAGATTTGAACTTAAATTTTAAATATGTAATTTTAAATTAAGTAGTGAATGGATTTTAAAGAAAAAAAGCAGAAAGCACTCATAAAATAATGTAAAAGATATTTAGAACCCATCAACCCCAAAAAAGAGCTTACATCTCTCCTAGTAATGTGAATACCTAAATTGTGTTAATGTACCTGTGAGTATTCTATTCATGTGTACATTTAAAATGCCCAAATTCACATAAATATTCAGAAACAAAATTGCATCAGATTGGGGCGGGGCCTGAGCTCTATGGCGGCTGGACGTTCTCTATGAGAGCTCCTAGATTGACCTTTTGGTTTTGTTTCACAACCGACCACCAACCAGCCCAAAAGACATGCTCAGCAACTTACCTGTACCTGGTGACAGTCGAGGTACCCTGGATCGCTCAAGTGGTTGGAATTCTGCCTTTTAAATGGCGGTCCCAACGAGGCCTAGCAAATGTATCAGGCGGGAGAGACGGACTCTCTCCCTTCCTGTACGACGCTGTTCTTATCCAGACATACCTTGCAGCCCCGTTCCCCCCTCCACACAGGCTTGCTACAAGTAACAGCCTAGACCATTACAGCTGTTGCTCCCAACATACCTCATGTCTATAAGATGGCAACAGCGAATATTCCACGTGGCCTCTGACAAACACAGCCTGGGCTTGCCTGCTCTGATGGCGCAATCTCTGAAGCAAGTCAACACACTATTTGATAGCTTTTGGGCCTCCCTGTGTCAGGATAGTGACAGGGATCCAATACGCAGAGTGCGGACAGAAGGAGGTACGTATACCGGACCTTAGAATGGCCGGACTAACGTATGGACAAAACAAGAATAGTCAAAAGGTAAGCCGAGGTCGAGGGAGCCGGAGGACAGGTAAGCGAGGAACAAGCCGGGTCAAAGGAGAGGAGAGGACAACAGGACAAAGGTACAAGCAAGGTCAAAACCGAAAACACTAAGAGAGAGAACGCGCTGAGTGACTAGCAAGCTAGAACCACGACAGGGCAATGAGCAGTAGTAAAAGTTCCCTTAAATACCCTGTCACCTTAATTGAGACCACGCCCCCAAAAGGTCCGGAATTGCGGTTCCCAGCACTTCACGTTAATGATGACGTCATGACGTTGACGCTAGCCGTCGCGTCATAAAAGGGGGAGGAGCTAGCGTGGCCGGCACGAAAACGGCCGGAATGCCGAAATGCTAGGGGAGGGGAGCCCCTAAGAAGAGAGGATGTCCTCCTCGGAGGCAACACCAACAGGTAACCTAACAGTACCTCCCCTTCTAGAAACGCCCACCGGGCGGATGGGACCGGGCTTAGAAGGGAAACGAACGTGGAAGGCCCGAAGAAGACGAGGAGCATGCACGTCTTCACAAGGAACCCAAGATCTCTCTTCTGGACCATAACCCTTCCAGTCTATGAGGTATTGTAACTTCCCCCTAGAAATACGAGAATCAAGAATGGACCTAACAATATATTCTTCCTGACCATCCACTCGGACCGAAGATGGAGGAGCAGAGCGGGAGGAAAACCTGTTACAAACAAGAGGTTTCAATAAAGACACATGAAAAGAGTTAGGGATACGTAGAGTAGGAGGCAGGTCCAGCAAATAAGAAACCGGGTTGATCCTCCTCAACACCCTGTAAGGACCTATGTAACGAGGAGCAAACTTCAAGGAAGGGACTTTCAAGCGAATGTGTCTGGTACTCAACCAGACCCTATCACCCGGAGAAAAAACAGGAGCGGGCCGTCTACGCCTATCAGCATGCATCTTAAACACCGCGGAACTACGCGTAAGAATTTGTCGAGTCTGATCCCACAACTTTCTCAGGTTGGCTATATGAACATCAACCGACGGTAAACCCTGGGAAGGAGACACCGACGGAAGAATAGTAGGGTTAAAGCCATAGTTCAAGAAAAAGGGGCTATTACGAGTGGAACCACAAACAAGGTTGTTGTGAGCAAACTCCGCCCAAGGAATCAGACCGACCCAATCGTCCTGGTGTTCAGAAACAAAACAACGTAGATATTGCTCAATTTTCTGGTTAGTGCGTTCGGCTGCTCCGTTAGATTGAGGATGATAGGCCGAAGAAAAATTCAGCTTGATGCCCAACTGGGAACAGAAGGATCTCCAAAAACGGGAAATAAACTGGGACCCCCTGTCAGACACAATCTCATTGGGAATACCATGCAAACGAAAAATCTCCCTAGCAAATATCACGGCCAGTTCGGGTGAGGAAGGAAGTTTAGGCAAGGGGATGAAATGAGCCATTTTGGTAAACCTGTCAAGAACCGTGAGGATAACAGTGTGTCTATTGGAAACCGGCAAATCAACAATAAAATCCATAGCCAAACTAGCTCAAGGTTTGTCGGGAACGACTAAGGGCTGCAATAGACCACAAGGAAGATCCCGTGGTAGTTTATTCCTGACACAGATATCGCAGGCCTTGACAAAGTCTTCCACATCCCTCCGTAAACTAGGCCACCAGAAGTCTTTGGAAATCAGGCAGCAAGTTTTGTGGATGCCGGGGTGACCGGCAAATTTGCTATCGTGAAAACAACGATTAATGTCCACTTGGAATTTGGGAGACACGAACAAGCGGCCCACAGGAGTACGCTCGGGAGCAAGAGATTGTTCGTTCATTATATCTATGAGCAATGGAGAGTGTATTTTAACATTGGCGTTGGCGATAATGTTGTTTTCAGGAACAATAGGGGACAAAGTGTCTTCTGTAATGGTGATAGGTTTTGTGCTGACGAGACAATGCGTCTGCCTTGGTGTTTTTAGAACCAGGCCTGTAAGTAAGTATGTAATTGAAATGTGTAAGGAACATAGACCAACGTGCTTGCCTGGCAGATAATCTTTTGGCCTCCCCCATATAAGATAAATTTTTGTGATCAGTCAAGATAGTAACTGGGAGAACAGTGCCCTCTAACAGATGTCTCCATTCTTTTAATGCCATAATAATAGCTAAGAGTTCTCTGTCACCAATATCATATCTCCTTTCAGTGTGTGATAATTTCTTGGAAAAAAAACCGCAAGGGTGCAACGGCTTATCTAAACTTTGTCTTTAGGACAATACTGCGCCTATCCCTGTTTCAGACGCATCAACTTCAAGCAAAAAGGGCAGAGAGGTATCAGGATGAGCTAATACAGGTGCTGAGGCAAAAGTCTGTTTGAGCGTTTCGAAAGCAGATAACGCCTCAGTAGACCATGTTTTGGTATCGGCTCCATGTTTAGTCATATTAGTGATAGGAGCGATAACAGAGGAGTACCCTTTAATGAAACGTCTGTAATAATTAGAAAATCCAATAAATCTTTGTATGGCTTTGAGTCCCTTGGGTAAAGGCCAATCTAAAATCGATTTTAGTTTGATCGGGTCCATCATAAACCCGTCTTTGGAAATTACGTAACCTAAGAAAGTTACCTGAGACTGATCAAAGCTACATTTCTCCAATTTACAATACAATCCATGTTGTAAAAGTTTCTGTAATACCTTTCTGACTTGTCTGTGATGTGAGTCAATGTCCCTAGAATGTATTAGTATATCATCCAAATATACAATCACACATCCGTGTTGAAATTCTCTAAGGACCTC